ACCTTTTAGCAAGATACAGTTTCCTTTCTTATCTCTTTTAATTAGGTCTATTTTTGCTTTTGCTTTGTCTTTTTTTTTTTTAACTTCAGCTGAAGTATAATAGATTTTGCCCCAGCCTCTTTCCTTTACTCTGTGTGTCTCTCTGTTTCACATGTGTTTCTTGTAAAGAGTAAATTGTAGTTTGGTTTTTGTAAATTGTAAAGAGTAAAGTGTAGTTCTGTAGGGTTTTTCTGCTATCCACTTCTGTTTTATGGGTGAGTTCATCCCGTTCACATTTATGATAACTAACTGTGTATTTCCCTCCATCCTATTTCCCCCTTCTTTATCCTTCTCTCTTTTACTTTTCACCCTGTCCCTCCTCACAAGTGTTTTGCTTCTGACCACTGCCTCTCCCAATCTGCCTTTCCTTCTATCAGTCCTCCCCCCTCCCCATTCTTTTATTCTTATCCCTTTTTACATCCCTATAGGGTAAGAAAGATTTCTATAACCAGCTGATTGTGTAGGTTGTTCCCTTTTTAAGCCAACTCTTATGAGAGTAAGGATAGAGGATTGCTCGCCAGCCCCCTATCTTCCCCTCTACTGTAATAGCTTTTGTGCCTCTTTTATGTCAGATAATTTACTCCATTCTATCCCTCTTCCCTCTTCTTCTAGAACAATTTTTTTCTCACCCTTTAATTTTGTTTTTATTTTTGGATATTAACCCATCATAGTCAACTCACACTCACACCCTCTGTATACACCTTCTAATTGCCCTAATAGTCATAAAGTTCTTAAGAGTTACAAGTATCATCTTGCCATGTAGGAATATAAACAGTTTAACCTTTTTGAATCTCTTATGTTTTCTCTTTCCTGTTGAACTTTTCATGCTTCTCTTGAGTCTTGTAGTTGAAGATCAATTTTTTTTTTTTGGTTCAGCTCTGGTCTTTTAATTAGGAATGCTTGAAAATTCTCTATTTCATTAAATTTCCATTTCCCCCCTGAACAATTATGCTCAGTTTGGCTGGGTAGGTGATTTTTGGTTGTGATACTAGCTCCTTTGCCTTCTGTAACATCTCATTCCAAGGCGCCCTCCCTCCCCCCTGTCCTTTAGTGTAGAAGTTTCTAAATCTCGTGTAATCCTGACTGTGGCCCCATAATATTTGAATTATTTCTTTCTGGCTGCTTGCGGTATTTCCTCCTTGACCTTGGACATCTGGCATTTGGCTATGATATTCCTATGAGTTTTCATTTTGGGATCTCTTTCAGGTGGTGATAAGTGCATCCTTTGGTTCTAGGATGTCAGGCCAGTTTTCCTTGATAACTTCTTGAAATATGATGTCTTGAAATATAATATAATTATAGCTTTCAGATATTCCAATAATTCTTAAATTATCTCTCCTCGATCTGTCTTCCAGGTCAGTTATTTTTCCAATGAAATATTCCACATTTTCTTCTATTTTTTCATTCTTTTTATTTTGTTTTATCATTTCTTTTAAAAATTTTAAAATTTATTTTAGTTTTCAACCATCACTTTCATAAGATTTTGTGTTCTAAATTTTCTCCTCTCCCTCCCTTCCCAAGATGACTGCAATCTGATATAGGCTATACTTGTACAATAACATTAAACATATTTCCACATTAGTCATATTGTGAAAGAAGAATCAGAACAAACCACAAGAAAGAAAAAACAAAAACAACAAATAAAAAGAGAAAATAGTATGCTTTGAACTGCATTCAGACTCCATGGTTCTTTCTCTGGATATGGATAGCATTTTCCAATATGAATCTCTTTCTACTCTTCTTACAACTTACTCCCCAACATGTCTCTTTGATCCAGTGACACTGGCATCTTGCCTGTTCCACAAATGATATACTTCATCTCTCAGCTCTGGGCATTCTTTCTGGTTGTCTCCCATGCTTGGAACACTCTCCAACCTCAACTCTGACTACTAACTTCCCTGGATTCCTTTTAAGTCCCAACTAAAATCCCACCTTCCCTAATCCCTCTTAATTCCTTCCCTCTTTTAATTATTTCCTATTTAGCCTATATATAATTTTCTTTGTATATATTTGTTTGCATGTTGCCTCCCTCATTAGATTATAAAATCTTCTAGGGCAGGGACTATATTTTGTCTCTTTTTGTAACACCAGCACTTAGCACAGTGCCTGGCACATAGCAGATACTTAATAAATGTTTATTGATTGATTGTCTATAATTCTTTTCAGCATAATATAGTTTCCTTTTTTATTCCTTTTAATTTTTTCAATGATGTTTTTTATTTGTCAGATAGCAGGATTGCAATTTTTGGATTTACTTGGTGCATAGTAAATTTTTTTTCCAGTCCCCTCAGACTTCTTTTGTGGATGTCTTTATTTTTAAAATATGTTCCTTGTAAACAACAGATTGTAGGCTTTTGGTTTCTTATTCAATCTATCATTCTTTTTCATTTTATTGGACTGTTTAATTCATCAATATTTAAAGTTATAAGAATTAGCATTATATTTTCCTCTATTTTGTCTCTAATATTTTTCCAAGTTATTATTTTTCCCCTCTTCCTCTAGACATAGTACTATGTGTCTTTTCTCTAAAGTTATTTTAGCTTAATTTTTTAAAAAAAATTAAAATATTTAAAATAATGAAAATAATAATGACAATAATATAATAATTATAAACATAATGATAATACTGTTGTTATTAAGCACTTTTAAGATATTTCATTTGATACTCACAATCACTCTGGGAGGTAGGTGCTATTGTTATCCTCATTTTACAGTTGAGGAAACTGAGGTAAACAAAGGTTAAGTGATTTGCCCAGGGTCACCCAGCTAAGTATCTAAGGCCAGATTTGAACTCAGGTTCAGGCCTGACTCCAGGACCAGCACTTTATCCACTGAGAGACCTATCCACTGAGACACTGAGTTTCATAAGGTAGCCCTATTCTCACTGACTCTCTTCCCCTTGCTCCAGTCTCTCCTCCCTTTTGTTACCCATTTTCCTAATTTTGAAGTTTTGCTTATTAGTCTTTTTCCTTCCTTCTTTTATCTGGTTATTTAATTCTCCCCCTCTTTTCCCCCACTGTTAGTGTCATCAATTCCCACTTCCTCTCCTCCCTTTCAACTACTATTGTTCAATAGCTTATTAAATTTAATTTTTTGCACCCCTTTCCAGAGACCATTTCTCTCACTCTCTTCTTTATCCATCCCCTCTTCCTGTATAATCTAGATCCTCATTCTCTGGTTCATGACCCCTATGCTTATCTAATTCCTCTTCTGTTCTCTGCATTTCTCATGGAATCAAAACTCCCAAGGTATCTATTCTAGGCTCTCCCTTCTAAGCAGTTTCTTCTACTATCTTGTAGAATTTGCTCCATGATTTCTTTTCCAGTGTGCCTCACTTCCAGGAAAATATCAATTCTTGCAAATGTCAGAGAGGACACTGACCCATGGCAGGTTCCCTACCCCCTTCCACTCTCACTATATTTCTGATTATGTAGCCGACCACTGACTTATGCCCTCCTGGTTATCTTCCTTTTCCATTTGCGGTTACTCTTTTTTTTTTTTTAAAAAAAGGCAATTGGGGTTAAGTGACTTGCCCAGAATCATACAGCTAGTAAGTGTCAAGTGTTTGGTCTGAGGCCTAATTTGAACTCAGGTCCTCCTGACTTTAAGGCCAGTGCTCTATCTACTGCGCCTTATTTTTCCATTTGCCTCAAAATTTTCCTCCCTGGGTTCATGCCCTTCCACTCCCTCAGGCACCAGTTGCTCCCAAGAGCTCTAACTCCCCACTCCTGACACAAGATGAGTGGTCTTCTCAAGCACCAGATCCTACAGATGATCCTGAGCATATAGTCCCCATCTCCCTTCACAGAATATCTCTTTCCACCTAAAAGAGTGAAACCTCCTCCAACCATCGGAACAAAGCTTCTCTCTTTTTCAGTCTTTTTTTTTTTCAATCCTTCCTCCCCACCTTCTCACCTACTCTCCCCTGTAGGCTCTTTTTTTCCTGAGAGACCACAGGGATTGCCTTTCCCTCATTCCTAGCTCTTGATTTGACCTGGGCACATCACACACTTCCCTCTATCTTCCTTCTCCCCTCCCCACTTCCATGTACCCTCCCATTTTGCAATGTAGTCCCACAAAACCCCCCCCCCATTAATTTATGTGTAGGTGGGGGTGTCATAATTTCCATCCACAATGCTCCAGGCCTGCTTTTCCACCTTTGCCTCCACCTGACTTCCATCATCAACTCTGTCTTCTTGTGCACATTTAGAAAGAATATACCCCTCCAACTCTATGGCATATTCAAGAAGCAAATAATCTCATCAGGTCTGGGTTTCTTTCTAAGCATGTTTTGAATAATTCTTTATCATTGAAAGTCTGTATTTATTTCATTTATAGTTCAGTTCAGATTTGCAGAGTAGGCTATATCCTGAGCTCCATTATTCTTTGAATACATTATTCCATTCCCTCCTATATTTTCTGGCCTGTGCAGAATAGTTTTATGTAATTTGAATTTCCTTCTGTTTGTATTTGAAGTTCTTTCTCCTAGTCACTTGCAGAATTTGTTTTTCGTAAATTAAATTATTAAGTTTAACCACTGTGTGTTGGAGTTTACAGTCTTTATTTTTGTTTTCCTGGAGGCAATCTATGCATTCTTTCTATTAGGATTTCTTTTTCTGCATTCAGAAGTTCTGGGCAGTTTTCTTGTATTATTTCTTGAATTATGGTGCTCATGTTTTTTGCCCAAAGCACAGAAACTATAGATCTTAAAGAGGGAGTGGAATAACAGAGTAACAGGTGGCCAAAGAACTCCACCCCACCTCCCAGTGAAATCCAGTTGGGATAAATGAACAGTAAGCCTGAACACTATCAGCTAGGCCCAATCTGAACACCAGGAGAGCTTCCTCTGACCAGGTAGAAAGATGCATTTGGAAATGTAGCGCTGGCCGGCCCCGCCCCCCTCCGGCCCCGCCCCCCGCCTCAGATTCATTCTCCATCCACACCAGAAAGATTGTTGAAAGATGGCCGCCTTGACTACCGTAGTGGTGGCGGCTACTGCAGAAGCCGGATCTCGGACCTTGGCCGCCGCACTTCCAGCAGCGGGACTATCGCAGGTGAAATCCCGCTGTTTTGCTTGAGCAGTCTGCCGGTTTTCAGCGTCGCTGGGCCCATGGCGGGGTCGTGGGTTGGGGGGGAGGCCTTTAGGCCGCTAGATCGAGGGTGGGCCCCCGGGGGTGGGGTGGGGGCGGGAGGGGCGCTCCGGACACGGGGTTTTTTCCCACCTGCCTGACCAGGTGGGGCGTGGGGATGGGGGCAGAGGGTGCATTTTGTCCTTGAGTAGATGGATTCTTTTTGCAGGCTTTTTATTTTTCTGCTTTTAGGGAGATTGCTTCGAAAGCACAGGTTGGAATTTGGGGAAGGTGGGATATTAAAAAAGGCGTCTTGGTAGAAATGTGACCAAACATTTGCCAGCGCCTCTTGTAGAGATGCCTGATCACTCAAGGAAGAATTGCAAGAGGCACTGTACCGATAGATTAATGCATATTTACTCCTGGTACACTGTAAAGGTGAAGGAAAGTGGGCTCCACGGTTGCAGGGGGAGATCTCCCTTGGTCTGGTGACTGAGCACTTTTCAGTATTAGTGTTGTTTTCATCGATGTTTTCATCCTTTAGTTGTTGCTTGTTGTTCCGTCGTTTTTCAGTTGCGTCCGACTCTTTCTGACCCCATTTGGGGTTTTCTTGGCAAAGATACTGGAGTGGTTTGACAGTTCCTTCTCCGGCTCATTTTACAGATGAAGAAATTGAGTCAAATAAGGTTAAGTGACTTGCACAGTGTCACACAGCTAGTAAGTGCGTAAGGCCGAATTTGAACTCAGGTGTTCTTCACCCCAGGGCCTGCACTCTATCCACTTCACCGCCTAATTTCCTGTTTCATCCTTAGTAAGCGTATCTAATAAATTCATCCAAGGCTTTTTTTCCTTCCATCACCTTCCATTAAAAAAAAAAAAGTTTAATATCCTGTGTCAGCCTCTGAGAAAGATAGATATTTCTTTTAACTTTGCCCCGATTATGCAAATGATTGTACTTTTGGGCATATTTGCCATCTTGCAAATATAGGTGAATCTACTTTAAACAAACACACCTTAAAATCTGGATGTAAAATAAAGAATGATTCTAACTGTCACAAAAGTATTATTTACGGTATTTGTTAATGTATTTAACACATTATTAAAACTTTACATATTTTTCAGAAAGGTTTATTTTGTGAATTGTACTACACCTGAATAGTCAAAAATCCCTGTTCAGTTCTCTGCAATTAATGGAATACAAATGCTGCCAGAATTATAAGTGCATAACTCATTTTCCTCATCTGTAAAGTGATAGGGTTGGACTGAATTGTTTCTGATATCTCTTCTAGCTTCAGATCTGTTATCTGTCATTTATGGCTCTTATGGTACATATAAACAATTAAGTCTCCGCATTGCTTCTTCCTTACGCACTTTGAAGCTACGTTCACTACATTGCTCTACACAGTAATCAAATTGTCCTGGGCCTATGGTGCTTAGTTGGTGACCAAGGGGGAAACTGTCTGACCCACACCCTTTACTATTACTCTGTAAACTGTAGCTGTAAACTTTTTAAGCAAAGGCACTGTTAAAAATTCTGCATTTAAAAATGTGTCTCAATACCATTTTCTTGACTGATCTTTTATTTTCCTGCATACCAGTACAGTTTGTTGCTTTCCACCATTTTCGGCCAGCTCTTAGCTTCTGAGATCCTTCCCTGTTTTCAAAAAATTGTGAGTTCATAAATAATGCCAAATGGAGTAGTCTTCTGATAGTACCCTAGTTCTTGACACTTTAGATAACATTTCTTTATTCCTGAGTGGAAATAAGTTCTAATTTGACACCACTGGAATATTATTAGACCTAAAAGGAAAACTCCGCAAATTATGAATCCTGTGTGGACTATTTATGGAAGAATATGGACTCACAAGATGAGGCAACTTGGATGGACTTAAATCTGTAGTCTGAGAAAGGGAGTACCCACATCAGTGATACATATCACACATCCATTGAAATATTGACATTTCAGACCCAGCTGCTGATTTGCTTTTGACCAAGCCATTTAGTAACTCTGTTAAGCAGTTATAAAAGGAGTAAAATACTTAAAACATTAAGTGAAGGCGTGGTAGAGTAAGGTTATATTTTAATAAAATTATGTAGTGATTAATTTCAAAGCCCCTATAACCCCTTAAGGAAAAATGAGAATTTTTAAAAACGTTAAATTAATATTTACACTTAGAATTTTCTTTTAAGTTTTTTTTAAATGAGCTTAACATCCATATTTCAATATCCAAAGCAAAAACAGAAATGACAATTATAGAGAGGCAGTTAGTTGGTATAGTGGATAAGAGGGGTGAACCTAGAATCAGGAAGGCACTCAATATGGTAAGATTTCAAGGGCAAGTCACTTACCCTCTACCCAGGTCAGTTTCCTTATCTGTAAAATGTGGATAATAATAGCACCTACCTCCCAGGGCTGTTGTAAAGCTAAAAAAGATATTTGTAAAGTGTTTTGCAAACCTTAAAATACTATTAAATACTAACAATTATACGAAACTGAACTTGTTACTACAGTTTTTTAAGTGGATTGTAAGTAACAAAACTGCTCTGCTTGTGTCCGCTTCTGAAGTTCCTCCTTTCTTATGTGTATTTTTAATATTTTATTTATGCTATTTAGTTCTCCCTACCCCCAGTAGAAGCTTTCCCCTGTGGTATGAGGGGAATATGTTGTTGTTGTTGTTCAGTCATGTCCAACTTTTCGTGACCCCATTTGGGGTTTTCTTGGCAAAGATACTCCAGCTCATTTTACAGAGGAAGAAACTAAGGCAAAAACAAGGTGGATTTGAACTCAGGTCTTCCTGACTCCACGCCTGGCACTCTATCCACTTCTCCATCCAGCTGCCCAAGGGTAGTATAAGGATATTTAAACAAAGCAAATCTATAAATTGTATGTAAATTTATGTCTCATTTTGCATTTCTCAGTACACCCACCTGTAAGAAAATGGGAAACATGATTCATCATTATTAGATTGTCCTCTGCATTTCTCAAAATTTAAAGTCTTTTTAGAATTGTTTTTCTGTACATTATTTTGGTCATTGTTCTCATGGCTCTACTTGCTTCATTGCATCAAGGCAGGACAATTCGGCAAGCATTTATTAAGCACTTAATATGTGCCATGCAAATACAAACAAAAAGACAATTTCTTCCCTCAGGAAACTTATGTTTTAACTGGGGAAGAAAATACACAAAAGGGAACTGAAAAAGGGGTTAAAGTACTTAGAGAGGCATGGTATTAGAGTCTGTAGAGTCACTAGCACAGCTAGGAGGGAAATGAAGATTACTCGGCTTGGGCTTCTCTCCAAAATGCAAGCACGAGGAGGATGGGGAGAAGGGGGGTGTCATGGCAGAAGGATATAGAAGACAAGGGTGATCAGACCTCAGGGGATAGTTAGATTGTTCAGGTTAGACAGCCCTCAAGGAGGTTGAGGCAGGAGCTGATTGCATGCTGTTAAAATCTGGCATGTGAGAAGCACAGCCAGGAGAAAAATGAAATCATTGTTAGTCTGTACATATCTCCTCAGGTTTCTTTGGCTTCCCCCTTTTGATTATTATGGCAAAGTAGTATTCCATTACATCTATATGCCACAACTTTTTCAGCCTTTCCCCAGTTGATATGAATCTACATCCCAGTTCTTAGCTATGACAAAATTTTTATACAGGTAGGTCATTTCCCTAATTTTTTTCCATCTTTGGGCAAAATGCCTAATGGTGATGGTCAAAAATGAGTCAAAAAAACATAGATCGTTTAATGACTTTGGATGTAGCACCAGATTGCTTTCCAGAATGATTGTCCCAATTTGTAGCCCTACAACAATGCATTAGTGTGCCTGTCCATCCACAGGTCCCTCTAACAGTTGCAAATTTTATTTTTTTGGTCATCTTTGCTGATCTGATGGATGTGAAGTGTGATTTCACAGTTATTTTTGTATGCATTTCTCTCAGTGATTTGGAGCATTTTTTCATATGGGATTGATAAATGACATTTCTTCTGATTTCAGAAGAAATCAAAGCTATCTATAGGTATATGAAAAAATGCTCTAAATCACAATAGAAGAGCAAATTAAAACAGTGCTGAAGCACCACTTCACACCTATCAGATTGGCTAACATGATAAGGAAAATGACAAATACTGGAGGGGATGTGGAAAAATAGAGACACTAATGCACTGTTGGTGGAATGTGAATGGGTCCAGCCATTCTAGAGAAATATTTGGAAGTATGCCCAAAGGGCTGTAAATTTGTGCATACCCTTTGACTGCTACTAGATAGTATACCACTACTAGGACTTGTGTCTCAAAGAGATCAAAGGAAAGGGAAAAAGGACCTATTTGCACAAAAATAATGAAAAATATTTAGCAGCTCTTTTTTGTGATGGCAAAAAAATTGGAAATTGAGGGGATGCCCATCATTGGGGAATGGCTGAAAAGTTATAGTAAGTGATTGAGATGGAATCCTGCTGTGCTGTAAGAAATGAGGAACTAGAGGAATTCAGAAAAACCTGGGAAAATTTACATGAACTGATGCAGAATGAAGTGAATAGAACCAGGATAACATTGTACACATTAACAGCAATTTTGTACAATGGTCAGCTATGAAAGACTTAGTTGTTCTGATCAGTACAATGATCTAAGACTATTCCAAAAGACTAATGATAAAAAAGGCTAAAAGTGCAAATTGAAGTATAATTTTTTAACTTTATCTCTCTTGCTTTTGGTAACATGACTAATATGCAAATATGTTTTGTAAAATTTTGTGTGTATAATTGATATCATGTTGCTTAACTTCTCTATGAGTTGGGGAAGGATGGGGGAGGGAAAGAATTTGGCATCCAAAATTCAAGCATTTCAAAAAAGAAGAGGAAACTGCCTGTTCCTATCCTGACTATTTACCAATTGAGGAATGGCTCTTGTTATATATTTATATCAATTCCTAACATATTTTGATAACAATATGTATTTGAAAGATTTGCTGCAAATATTTTCCCTTTTAACTAAAGTGAATTTAGAAAAGCTTTCAATTTTATGTAATAAAAATTGTACATTTTACCTATCATGATCATTTCTATCCATTGTTTAGTTAGGAATTCATTATAGTTGTAAAAGGTATTGCCATTCCTTCTTTTCTAATTTGTTTATGATGTGGCATGTGGCCTTTTATATTAGGTTGTGAATCTGTTTAGAGCTTATTGTTGTATACTGTGGAGATGTTGGTCTAAACCTAATTTCTCTCAGACAGCTTTCTAGTTTTCTCTGAAGTTTTTGTCAAATAGGAAATTGTTACCCTTATATCGTTGTTATCCATAGGCTTGTTGAACTCTTAGTTTATCTTAAAATAATTCTTGGAAGTCATAATTAAGCTTTAGATGAATTTACATTTTTAGAAGTGTACAATAATTTTTTGTGTGTATTCTTTGAAGAATGACAGCTATTCAGGTACTCAAGATGGAGTTCGACCTTTTCAGTTACATAACTGGAAGCAGAAAGCTGATCAGGCCAAGAAAACTGAATTCATACGTACAGCAGAAAAATTGAAAAATCAGTAAGTTTAAGAAAATGATTAGAAATTAACTTTGCTACTTCCAAACTAAGACAATTGAGCTCTTTTGGGAGTTAGTTCACAAAAATATACACATAAAGTTAATGAATCATAACAGTGCATTTTTTGTTTTTAAATGGAACATTTTATTTTCCTTAAGATTTTTCTTTTACTCATATTCCTGTAATCCCTGTGGTTTTTTTTTTAAGGGAAATATGCAAGAGTGTATGGGTCAAAGGTAGAAAAGATGACAATTTTAAAATAGCCTACTTCACATAATATAAGTGAGAGGCAGCATGATCCTGGGGAAAAGGAAGTATACTTTGGAGTCAGAGGAGCTGAATTCAAATCCTATCTCTGATGCTTATTACCTTTGTGACTTTGGGCAAGTCCTCTGGGCATTGGTTTCCTTATGTATGAAAAAAGGAGTTTGGACTAGATGGCCTCTAATGTGTCTTTGGTTCTGGAGCTGTAATATGTGTGTTCTAACTCTATAATCAATAATGATTTGTTTGTTAATGCTTATGTAGTCTTTCTAATAAGTAGTCACTGACAGTCATTGACTGATTGGTGCTATATACAGAGCAGTGAGGAGATACTTTAAAAAAAGAGTTAGAAGATAGAGCACTAGTTTCCAAAGACTTTTGTAATAAAACCTTTTTGAATTTTGATAGGGGCTTTTTCTTCAAATAACTCATTTATTTGTTAAACATGTTTATTTAAAATTGCATTACGTGTGTGTGTATGTGTATTGCAATTCTATAGATAGAACTTGTTTAGGAAAAAAAGTATTTCCTAGTTTGTGAAAAATGCTGCTATAGAAAATCCCTTGGTAAAATAAAATTTTACCGCTTTTATATAATATTTTTATCTTAAATATATTCTTTTCGTGGAGTGAGAATTTGGAAATAAATAATTTTCTTTTTCTTAATCATCAAAATATACTCACCTAATTATAGTTAGATTGTTGGGTTTTGGCTGTTTTAATGGCTATCACATAGTAAATTATTGTCAAATTAGTAAATGACACTTTGTAATCAAATGTTTTGTTTAATGATTTATTGTGTTAATTAGGATTTCTTAACCCACTATAGGAATATTAGAAAAAATTATTCTTTTTTTAAAATACCTTGCTGATGTTCTACTAGTCCCTAATCGAGTTAGCTATTTATAAAATAAATCATTATGTTGAAAACAGAAGTGTCATCATATAAAAAAACTCCCAATTAAATGATTCATGGGTGTGTTTAAAAAAAAACAAAACAAAATAACCCTTACAGAATACCTCACTTTAAGCCAATGTGGGAGGCAGTGAAGATGAAAGAGGTCAGGAATGAGAGATTGAACAAGTTATTTGAGTTTGTGCCTCACTTCCGTTGTCTGTCATAGAAAGGTAAATGTGAGGAATTATAACTTGATAAATGGACATTTTACTGAATTTAAATTTTCTTATAATTTAAATTCCATATATATATATATACACATATATATATATGTATAAACTTTTTGTTAAATTCAACAATATTGTTTAATAAGTACTGGATGGAATCAAGACAGATAACTATAAGGGTGATAACTGGTGTATCTTCATACTTGAACTAATTAAAAATGTTTTCAAGTTAAACTTCTCACAATGTGTTTCTTTCCCTTAAGAGTTGCTAATATAGAAAAAGATAAAAATGGTCATCTCTACAACAAAAAAAATGACTTCCGAATTGATTTTATCGTGTTGGAAGAACTTGAACATAAACTGGTTAACAGCAGGAAAACAGAAAGTAAGCACTTTGTATACTAAAACTCTCATGGAGAATAAAATTGTATAGTTGTCTTCTTGTGCTTTGATACTGTATAGACTATGTTTATCCTAGCTGGTAGTTTTTACTTTGTTGTTATTCTCAGCTCCTTACTCTCCCTTACCCCAGATTTCCAATCGGTTGCTTAATCATGTTGCTACCCCAACAACATTGCTCACACGGTCCACTTCACAGGTGCAGTGTTTGAGTGTGCATGAAATTGAGTTCCCCAGCTGCTCGTGTTTTCCCTTTTAGTATTACCTCATTTATTTTGTTTGTATTCTGTATGAACTTATATTTGTAAATATTTTCTTGTCTGATAGAATGTCAACTCCTTGAGGATAAGGAGGGACTGTTTCATTTTTGTTTTCATATCACCAGTACCTGACATAGTTCATGCATAATAAATGCCTGTTGATTCAGTAATCAGTAAGCATTTATTAAGCTCTTAGTATTTGCCAGACTCTATGGTAAGCGCTGGGGATACAAAGAAAGGGATAAGAAACAGCATCTGCCCTCAAGAAACTTATAATTGGATAGGGGAGACTATGTAAACAACTATATACACACAAACTGTATACAAGACAAAATGGAAATAATCAGAAGAGTGAAGGCACAAGATAAGAGGGATCAAGAAAAACTTCCTGTAGAAGGTAGAATTTTAGTTGGGACTTGAAGGAAGCCAGGGAAGTCAGGAGGTAACAATGAGGAGGGAGAGCATCCCGGACCTGGGGGACAGCCAGAGAAAATGGCCAGACATCAAGAGATGTTGATACACTTATCCTATGATTTACCAAAAAAAAAAAGTATGACTTAGTAATAATTTCTATTAATGAACAGAAATTGATTCTTGGAGTCACACCACCTACTTAATTGTTCTGTGTACTCCTGTATTAAAGGATAACGTCTTGATTATCATTGTCATAATGATATCTGACATTTACATAGCACTTTACGTATATTTGATCTGTGTCACCACAGTCTTGTGAGGTTGATACTACATTCATTGTATTACTTCCATTGAATAGATGAGGAAACTGAAGTTCACAGAGGTGAAGTGACTTACTTGTACAACTTGTGAGAAAGGTAGATCCATATCCAGTTTTTTTCTGATGTCAAATCTAGTGCTATCCTCCTTAGGCATAGTTCCTTGTACATAGTAAGTGATCAATTAATATTCATTGAATGAATGAATGCTACCACATCAATATTGTCCTTAGAAATATTATCGGAGAATGACAGTAGAGAATTGAACTTAATTGATAAGAACTACATGTTGGAAGACTAATTAGTAACAAAAATAGTGCTCTTGGGAGAAATAGTGTTTGATTATGTAGTAAAATGTTCTAAATCAAACAAAAGGACTTATTATTATAAAGAGAGTTCATGGTATAAGAAGCTGTATTGCAGTTTGTTATGAGTCCAAATTTAAGGGGCAGCTGCGTGGTGCAGTGAATAGAGCCCTGGTCCTGGTATCAGGAGGACCTGAGTTCAAATGCGACATCAGACACTTGACACTTACTAGCTGTGTGACCCTGGGCAAGTCACTTAGCCCCCATTGCCTCACCTCCCCTGCAAAAAAAGAGTAAGAATTTACCAGTATATTTATTTCCCCCCAGTATATGAATTTGAACCATTTGAAAATTAATTTTTTTCATTTATCATGTATTTTTCTCCCTTCATGTCTCCTCCATAAAAAAAAGAAAAACAAAAAACTTTATAATAAATATACCTTGTTAAAAAATGAATTCCTATATTAGCCATTTCCAAAATGTATCTCATTCTCCATATTTATTCCATCATCTCTCTGAGATTTAATTAGTTAATTTAATTAAACTCATTAATCAGATTTAAGTCATTTATTTCATTTTTACATTGTTGTTATATTATAAGTTGTACTCCTGATTCTGCCTATTTCATTCTGCATTAGGTTATACAACTCTTCCAAGGTTTCTCTTAAACTGTCTCTTTCATCATTTCTTAGAGCACAGTAGTATTAGTTTGCACTGTTTTTAAAACTGCCTTTCAAAGGTTTGGGTTAGTAGGAACCATAAAACCCAATTCCTTCACTACATTGTAATTCATAATGGAATTAAGGTTTCCTTGTGGAATGTCTTAATTTCCACTGTCATTAATTAAATGTTTATGGAGCATCCACTTTATATGAGCTGCTATGGAAGATAACAAACGTTTTTTAAAATTTTTTTATTTTTATGAATTTTTTTAAAATTTTTAACGTGTTTTTTTAAAACTTTGGGTTACCGATTTTCTCCCTTCCTCCCTCCCCACCCACCCTCATTGAAAAGGCTAGCATCTCGGTACAGGTTATACTAGTCATGTTGTGAAAAACTAAGTATATTTCACTTCATCCTATCCTATCCCCCCATTTATTGTGTTCTCTCTTTTGACCCTGTCCCTCCTTAGAAGTATTTGCTTTTGATTATCCCCTCCCCCAATCTGCCCTCCCCTCTATCAACCCCCTGCTCTCTTTTCCCCTTCCTCCCTTATTTTCCTGTAGAGTAAGATAGATTTCCATACCCCATTGTGTATGTTATTCCCTCCTTGAGCCAAATCCTATGAGAATAAGATTCACTCATTCCCTTCCCCATTTCCCCTCCACTGTAAAAGCCTTTTCTTGTCTGTTTCATGTGAGATAATTTACCCCATTCTACTTCTCCCTTTCTCCTTCCCAGTATAATTCTCTGTCACCCCTTAATTTTATTTTCCAGATATCACCCCTTCATCTTCAACTCACCCTGTGTCCTCTATCTATTTCTCTATCTATACATACATATAATTTTTCCTCTCCCACCACCCTGATAATGACAAAGGACTCATGAGTTACAAATATCATCTTTCCCTGCAGGAATGTAAACAGATCAACCTTAATAAGTCTCTTATGATTTCTCTTTCCTGTTTACCACTTCCACATTTCACTTGAGTCTTGTATTTGAAAGTCAAATTTTCTGTTCAGCTCTGGTCTTTTCCTCAGGAATGCTTGAAAGTCCCCTTTTTCATTGAATGACCATTTTTTACCCTGAAGGATTATACTCATTTTTGCTGGGTAGGTGATTCTTGGTTGTAGTCCTGTCTCCTTTGCCCTCTGGAATATCATACTCCATGCCCTCCGGATCCTTAATGTAGAAGCTACTAAATCTTGCGATATCCTGATTGTGTTTCCACAATACTTGAAATGTTTCTTTCTGGCTGCTTGGAATATTTTCTCCTTGACCTGGGAATTCTGGAATTTGACTACAGTATTCCTAGGAGTTTTCCTTTGGGGATCTCTTTCAGGAGGTGATTGGTGGATTCTTTGAATTTCTATTTTGCCCTCTGGTTCTAAAATATCAGGGCAATTTTCCTTGATAATTTTTGATTATTGATAATTTTTGGTATTGAAAAATTGAAAACTCCTTTCCTGGCCTGTGCTCTGGTCTATGAGCACTCTTTTCTGTCTTGGAACTGTGAGGAGGATTTCCTCTCCATAGCCACTACAAGCTCCACCATGCCAGCACTCCTCCTCGCCCCAGGACCACCACCCAGAACTGTGACCCAGATCCAAGCACAGGCAAAGCAAGAGAATTCTGCACCAGCAGAGAGATCCCTGCAATCCCCCTCTGATGAGCCACTCTATTCCCCCTCAGTCTGTGGGCCAGAAGCTCAGGAGGCAGCTGCTGCCCTGGGGTCGAGCTCGGGAAATAGGGCTGGAGCCCCACTGTGTTTCTCTCTTACCACCACAGAAACAGACTTTTGCCACTGACCTTCTAAGTTGTCTTTGGTGTTCATTCATGGGTTGAGAAGTCTGGAAACCACCACAGCTGCCCACAATTCAGTCCTCTGAGGCCTGCTCCAGATTTGCTGTGGCCTGCTTGCCCACACCAAACTGCGTTCCTCTCCTCACCTGTCGTGATATACCTTTCTGGGGAAATCTTAATGTGCTGAAGCATGTCGATCTTTCTGATCAATCATCCAGGCTGTTTTTGGCAGGAAATTTGTTTCACTCTGTCTTTTTGTGGGTTCTGCTGCTTTAGAATTTGTTTAGAGCCATTTTTTATAGGTATTTGGAGGGGTTTGGGAGAGAGCTCAAGCAAGTCACTGCTTTTACTCCGCCATCTTGGCTCCGCCATTAAACTATCTCTATTATATTAAAGATTATTGTCTGAGAGGAGAAATGAAAACAAATAATTACAGCACAAAATAGACTGTGATAGCACAATAAGAAATATTCAAAGAAATATAGAAAATCAAAGGAGGGAATGATTACTTTTCGCTGTGGAGATCAGAGCTTCATAGCACTTGATCTGAGACTTGGAATTAGATAGCATACTTGGCAAGGTAAGGGTGTTCCAGATAAAGGGTGCAGCATTAGCTAGCAAAGACAAGGTTGTGGAAAAATGCAGATTGTGGTGTGTTCTTTCACAATCTTTAACTTATTCTCTGCATCAAAATGCTAGGCATATAGGCCTGTGCCTCCTAAGTACTTGCTGAATAAATAATTCTACTCCTTGGTTAAGTATAATGTACACTAACAACATGGTTTGATCTCCAGGAACATCACAGTTAAAAACAAGAACCCCCAGGGCTAAGTGGCCTATACCTGAGGCAAAAAGCTAAGCTAGGCCTGTCTCCTAATGTAAGACAAATGAGTCACATATAGCATGTCACAGTGCTTCATTTGGTATCTTATTAAGATTAAATATTTATTATCTAATAGGTGTGAGTAGAAGAAGTGTCTCTGGAGGCTGAGTCCTTGAGATTTAGGTATATCACATCTCCTTGCTCTAGTTGTTAAAATGATGCTGTTTCAGAGCATCACACTTATAGCTCAGTTATTTCTTCCCAATCTAGAACATGAACATCCTGAAGGCAAAGGAAGCTAAAGAGATGCTTATGTATGGTGTCCATGGAAATAATTGTTGTTGACATGGCCATAGGGTTCCAGATGACACATCAGTGAGTCTAAATCAGTTCACCTCACCTTC